CTGACAAGATGAAATCCGTAATCTGAAATTCAGTATTTTAAAGCTTTCCTCACAGTTACTCAGAACTCCTCAAAAGAATGATAGAGCCTTCTCTTCCTCTACCTAAGTACGCCATATTTTTATAGACTGCTATTTTTTTTGCAAGTGTATCCTATCCATCTCCCCAAAGGGCATATACGTATTTGAGAATAAGCATGTAATTTAATTTGATTTCAGGGTAACAGCTTGGAAGTCGCCAGCTTATATGACAAATTCCTATTTTTCAAATCTTCCTTTCTCCTCCTGCAAGTTCCAGGAAGTCTTCCAAAGGCAAACTATATATGCCTTAAGTGCCGAGCCCAGAACAGAAGAGGCTGAGGTCTTGATTCTAGATCTCACATTACACCAGTAGCCACACAACGAAGAGCTGAAGAAATCCAGTACTCTGATGAAACAGAAAAACTGACCGAAGAGCTTAAACTCTGTAAGTACACTGAAGAAATTCAAAATGATTTAAGAACAATGATGAAGCCACATGTTGGCAAGTGCCAAAGAGGGGAACAGTGAAAGATGACTATATTAGGTGTGGAAAATATGCCAGCGTGCTTCAGCTTCTACCACTGGAGCCTGAACTCTCTTTTCAAAGGTACCTGGTATTTCAAAGTGACAGAAATTCCACAAACACACCCTGTGGCAAATAAACAGGGTCAAAGCACGGCTAGCAAGAGTGGTTGTGGTGCTGTCACCGAAGTTAGCAAAGCAAACACTAGTTTTGCAATATAACCTCTTAGTATGAGAGCAGTAGCTGTACGTGTTATGTGAGTGGTGGTGGCGTGCTAAGATGAAAAACAAAAAGCAATACAAAGAAAAACAACTCTATAAAAAAATCTATCTAGAAGAGACAATAAGTACTTCTGGGATCCTGCTAGAGGATGGATCTTTTGAACAAACTTGAAGCTCACTTTTCATCCCAGACTTAGCCAGCTACACACCTGGCACTAACTGTTACAAGTACCTAGTGTTCTTTCCCTCACTAACACAATCAATGTTTTTCTTCAAACCCACAAACTTTTCCCAGAGATCTAAGAATTGTTGGCTTAGTCCTCACGCTGCCAATTCAGGTGAGTCACTGGGCAATTCACCTGTGTGCAGCAGGTTTCTTGTCTCTGGGCACGGTTCCAGATTATCATCTTTGGCGGTCAGGAATGACTCAACTTCAAAGCCTCAAGTCCCTTCCACATATAAGCAAGCCCAAATTGGGAATCATTATTACTTAAATTATTTCAAACGTATTTGTGTTCTTGGAGGCCTGAAGCACAGCTCAGTTATTGTCCCCGGAGTGAAGAAATCCTGTATTTCCAATCAGAGTAGATCTACGTACTCTGACAATCAAGTGAACAAAGAAAAAGTTGTCCTCGTCCTATGAGAACCAAGGAGCCCTGGTTGTACCCCAACTGGGAGAACATTCCATATCTATATGTAGAGCCTGTTGGCAGAGGCACCACTGCTAAATAGTCACTCTTAATTTGCTTTAATCCTACTAGAGCCTAAATGTTTACTGTTCTAGTCCCAAAGAAATAGCTCTCTTATACCATCCTGCCTGTCCTTTATTCTTGGATGATCGTGACACTACAGTTAAACCTAATCCAACATTGTAAATGCAAACCACCTGTCACTTGTGTGGCTAAGCACTACCCTGCCTAGCACTGTCCAGTGAAACCAAAAGAGCCATATAAACAAATATACTCATATAAATTATACTACAGAATGAAAGCCTAAAGACCTTATGTAACAACCATAAATTACTGCAAATTACAGCACATCAAAAGAGTCTCTGGCATACCGAATGCTTCTTAGAGTCAACTGATAAGAAGTTTCATCAACCCAGCAGGCAGGCAGGTGTTTACAACAAAGATAAGAGATTTTTTAGAAAATGAAACAATAAACAGTGGCTACCCAAACATGCACTCACACATTCCCCTCCTAAGGAGAAAGTTGAAACGTGGGGCAAATTGAGACCCAACCCAGTGTCAGAAGACCTCTTGGTCTCTTCTTTCTGGCATCAAAGCCTTACTCAAAGCAGTTTTGTGTTAAAGTCACACACGATTAGGTGGGGCCATCCCATTAATTCGATACATGAAGAGTTAAGCAAGGAAAGATGATGCAAAAAAATATATCAACAGCAGAAATCTTCTGAGACATGCCCTCAACTTTGCAGCTTCTCTGTAAGGATAGATCAGGCCTGAGTCCAGCACAGAAACAGAAATGCTGATCACTTATAAGAAGCACCCTGACATAATCATTCTCAAAGCCTTCTCTTTTTAGGGTCCTAATGGCAATTTAGACAGTTTATAGATCGACTTCTAAAACTTTTTAGTACTATTATATCTACTTTTTGAAAAATTAAAGCAAATTGCATCTTTTTGGTGGGTAGAAAACCCACAAGGAAGAACAGAACTTCAGGACAGGGACTCCCTCTAGGGAAGGAAGAGGGGGGAAAAAGGATAGGAGAGCAGCAGGTTCTGAGCTGGATTTGCCTACAAAAACAGAACCTGGAGCAAATATGTTAAATATTACCATTTATTTAGTCTGGGTTGGTGGGTACATAGAGATCTATCCTCTTTACTTTTTTTTTTTTTTTTTTTTTTTTTTTTTTTTACTTTTCTGTACATGGTAAGTGCTTCATACTAAAATAAGGTAAATTTCAAGTGAAAATTTCTGGTTAGAGCAAAGTAGTAGCTCCTCAATTTATGGAAAGCTTGCCCACCACAGCCCCCACCACTCCTCATCACCAACACACACGAGCACCACATGTTCACACCACTTGCCCTGCTCCTGAAGGCACTGTCATTTGTGGCATAACACTGAGGGCACCAAAGCAAATTCAGGGTGAGACTTGAGCAGGGATCTGTGACAAAGTCCAATCATACTACTTTGATTACGTGCAACTGCCGAGCAACACAATAAATACACACAACTCACTGGGGAACGTTCATATCCAAGATAACGTATACTAAAGTTTGAACCCACTTTACAAACCCACTTTACAGTTCTACACATTTTATTATGAGATAGTTCTCTCTCTGATATCTGTCTTGCTACCAAAAGGCACATCAAAATATTTATCCTCTGTCAAATAAAAATATAAGCATAGTTGAAGCTGTCCTGAGGGACACACACTATTATTTAATTACATGTGCATTTGTTCATCTGTGAAAGCCAAACTGCAGAGAACATAAATACGGCAGCCTGATTTTTAGTACCATGAAGCTGAATTGGATCAGAATGTAAGTGACACAGAAGTCCACATTTCTGCTGAGTGTTCAAAAGCCAACAGAAGGACTTAGGCCTGTGCTAACAAACACAGCTGCTGCCACAGAAAGAAAAGTAAAAAAATACATAGCTTTCTTTTCTCAGATCCTCTACCAAATGGTCCATACCAACAACTGCATGAATCAAATGAGTCATTTGACTCTAAATGGAGTCAACATGTTCATTACGGACCTTGTTACCATTTTTTAAAAAGTATTTGGTTTAATAAATATGTATAACGATATCATTACATTAAGGTATGAAGCGACCAATACACCAACTATGTGACTAGGTGCTATAGCTTACCACCTCCGAAAAATCCTAAAAATATCATAGAAATTGCCAAGTTAACAGGGATCAAGTCTGGCTCGTACATGTTTTGCTGGACTGAGATAACATTTCTTTAAAACTTGAACGCAGTAAGTATTCATCCAAGTCTAGATTTCTGTTATCAGACCTGTCAACACTGAGCCCTTATACTTACCTGGTTAGAGTGAAGTAGTAGCTCCTCAATTTATAGAAAGCCTGTCCACTACAACCTCCACTACTCCTCATTACCAACACACGCAAGCCCCACATGTTCACACCACTTGCCCTACTACTGTAGACACTGCCATCTGTGGCATAACATTGAGGGCACCGTACCTTGGAGGCACTAAAAATAAATACATTCCCATTAGGACCAACTTCCGGGTGGAACAACACAGGAAGAAAGGACTCTTTCTAGAATTCTGAATTTCCACGGAGGTTAGAAGAGAAGAGGTAAAGCATGAACCAGAAGTCGTCCCCTACTATTCACGTGAACGCACGCGAGCGTGCGCGCACACACACACACACACACACACACACACACACACACAAGCCCAACATACACAGCTCCTTCTCCTATGCTGGTGAGATACCGTGATACAGGCATGAGATTCCTGATTCTAAACAATGCCCACTGTAACTTAAGAGGAAACTACCTCCACTCTAATATTGCCTAAGGACTCTTGGAGGTGTACTGGCCTGTTTTGATGCAATGCTCCCACTACCCAAGCCAGCTGAGGGAATTCCTTTTAACTTGCGAATGCGTTAGGTATCTACATTGTTATGCCCAACCTCTGTCTGTGACATACTATAAGCCAGGTGGAAAATAAATTATGACTAAAAAAGTGTTTGATGCAGAAAAGAGAAATTCATCAATACAAAAATAAGTATCAGATACACACACACATAATAGAGATGGAATATTCATCAGTTAATACCAAGAAAACATGAATATATCTATAACAAATGAAATGTACAAAAAAGAATAGTAATAAGCTCCTTATTATGCACAATTTACATATATAAACATGCAACATATATATACACACACACACACAAACAAATGAATATACTTGCATATATAGCCAAATTGTGATAAAGCTCAAGATACTACTACGTATACACAATATTTTTAAAAAAGGAAAAAAAGATATTGAGTAGGAAGTTTCCAGATTTCACAGTACAACAGTCTCGAGGAACTTAATTTTATCAAAACCCAATTGCCTGGTAAGTGTCAAAGTTCATGGTATTATTAGAGTCTACAGAGTTTTGATAAGCATTTCACAATCTGAAAGGAAGTCTTTCTCCTTAGGATTATAGGGTTACTGGCAGAAAAATAAAAAGCCACATTGATTCCACAACTCAGTCTTTCCCAGTTAGAAAAGAAGAGAAACACTCACTGCAGAGAGCTGGCCCCACGTAGATCTCAGCGGCTTATGGTGAATCACAATTTTTTCCTCTGACTTCTGCTCTTTGAGCTCCGACTCTTCATCAGAGTCAATGTCAAGGGCCTTTTCTTTGTAGTTTTGATATAAGACAGCATTTTCTGCAAGAAAATACAAAAGCCTGATATATCACTATTTGCCTGCAATCACCACACTACTTCTGAACAAACTTCCATATGTCCTATGGTCTCTGGTGTAATTAACAACACAAAAAGAGACTCTGTCATTCAAGAATTATACATGATTTTTCAATGGAAGCAAAGTTTCTATGTCTTTGTCCACTACTCACAAAGAACAGTTGGACATCTTAAATCATCGTTAGCCAGGTTAAACTGAGTTCACACACTACATTTCCTTCAAGGTCCATCACCATTCCTTTATCTATTTAGCAAACATTAATTGTACCTCTACAATGTGCCAGAGTCTGACAAAAAAACAAAAACCAGAAAACAAAGACATCTCTCATTTCCTCATGTGCTACCAATTACTGAGACAGTTAAATTCATTCACACATTTATTCATTCAGTCAAATTCATTCATGCATTTATTTAATGAACTGACATCCAGAAAATGCCTACTAGGTGCCAGCAACTTCTAGGCACTGGGACTGTGAAAATGAATGAAAAAAAAGATTTTAAAAATCCCAATCTCTTTACGGATCTGACGTTAAAGTGAGAGAGAACTTCAATAAATAAACTAGCAACTCTTATAATACTTCAGGTATGCCTACATATCATGAAGAAAAACAGAACATGCAAGGGGGATGGGAAATGCTGGGAGGAAGGTATGTGGATTTTTAAAAGGACAGTTTAAGTCCTCAGAGAAGTGACACTTAAACCAACACTTTATGTGGTGAGATAGCGCTAGGAAAAAAAGCATCTCATCAGAGTGGGCAGAAAGTACAAAGGCCTGGGGGCACAAAGTGCTTGGTATCACTGCGCACGGGACAGCAGGGTGGCCTAGTGCCCTGAGGAAGGGATCAAAGTATTGAAGAAGGGAGACAGGATATGGAGAGGTCAGATTACATACAGCCCTGTTTCGGTGTCGTGGAAAGGATTTTGATTTTTTTTTGGGGGGGTACTGGGAATCGAACTCGGGACCGTTACTTTCCAGGCAGACAGAGACACCACTGAGCTAAATCCCTGGCTCAGGACTTTGAAATTTACTCCAGGTGCAAGGACAAGCTCAATGATAAAGGGTTTGGGCACACTGATCATATATAAATACATACATACAAATGGAAGGATTTACCTACAGGTGACCTGAGAACATACCAGCAGACTCTAATCTAGTCCAGGCATCTGGGAAGTATCAATGAGAAAAATCTAAGATCTGAAAGTAGAGGAGCTAGAGCTAAAAGAGAGTACATGTACAGCTCAGAAACCAAAGGAAATGTAATACCTTAAAATACCTATGTGATACCTATGGCACTGGGGCCGGGGACTTAGCTCAGTGGTGCCAATGCATGCCTGTCAAGCGCAAGGTCCTGAGTTCAATCCCCAGTATAAAAAAAAAAAAAGGAACTATGGCTGGTCAATGTAGCTGGAGCGAGGGGTGAAGGGAGGGCAGGGACAAGGGGAAAAAATGAGAACCAAGATTTGTCATGTAAAGGTACAAGATTCCCATTATGGATGTAACTGTACTGTATACCCAAAATGCATCAATAAACTCAGTGAGGAAAATAAATGTAGCTGGAGCTTTGGCATGTCTGACCAGTGGTCAAAAAGCTCAAGGTGGGCTTAAAATGATGAGCCAAACAGTCTCCATCAAGCAGGGCTTTTTAAGCCATGTTAAACACTGGATATTGCTCTGAATTCAGAGAACTGAGTTTCTGTCACACTGGGATTGTATATCATCCTGCATGCAATGGGAGGTATCCATGGGAAGGAAACACTGACCACACAAGAGACTCATTAAGAATGCGACTGGCATGGCCAATGCAGACTGATAGAGACCTGGGCTATGCTATGTAGCGAGAACTGAATGTGACCAACTAGATACAGTAAAAAAAAAAAAAGGAACTATGGCTGGTATATGTAGCTGGAGCGAGGGGTGAAGGGAGGGCAGGGACAAGGGGAAAAAATGAGAACCAAGATTTGTCATGTAAAGGTACAAGATTCCCATTATGGATGTAACTGTACTGTATACCCAAAATGCATCAATAAACTCAGTGAGGAAAATAAATGTAGCTGGAGCTTTGGCATGTCTGACCAGTGGTCAAAAAGCTCAAGGTGGGCTTAAAATGATGAGCCAAAAAGGGAGGGCAGGGACAAGGGGAAAAAATGAGAACCAAGATTTGTCATGTAAAGGTACAAGATTCCCATTATGGATGTAACTGTACTGTATACCCAAAATGCATCAATAAACTCAGTGAGGAAAATAAATGTAGCTGGAGCTTTGGCATGTCTGACCAGTGGTCAAAAAGCTCAAGGTGGGCTTAAAATGATGAGCCAAACAGTCTCCATCAAGCAGGGCTTTTTAAGCCATGTTAAACACTGGATATTGCTCTGAATTCAGAGAACTGAGTTTCTGTCACACTGGGATTGTATATCATCCTGCATGCAATGGGAGGTATCCATGGGAAGGAAACACTGACCACACAAGAGACTCATTAAGAATGCGACTGGCATGGCCAATGCAGACTGATAGAGACCTGGGCTATGCTATGTAGCGAGAACTGAATGTGACCAACTAGATACAGGGCAGAGGTGTTAAGATGTTTCCTAGGTCTTAAATTCTATCAAGGGAAAGTAAGAGATAGAACAACAGAAGAGATAAAGGTTTACTGAAAAGAGTATGAGTTTGGCTTGACACATATGCAGTTAGAAACTCTTCCCATCTACTAAAGAGCAGACACCTGCCTCTTCTCTCATCAATTCTAAGTAGGTCTGTATGCAAGCGGTCCGGAGTAACACTGAAATCTATATAAGGCTTTTCTATTCTCTGTTCTGCATGTAAGAAACAGGTATGTACTCTGAGTTTCCCCCATCTTTCAAGTACTTAGTGGCTGGAACGAAGTGCATGCAGAACGTTGTTAAGATTTCTCATACATTTGCACAAAGGCATTGTCATCACAGCCCTTCTTTCAGATAATCAGTGAGGCTAAAGTTCTTGCTGTGTCTCACTCGACTGATGAGCAAAAGTAGCATGGTAGGAACTCAGCATCACAGACTCCTACCGCTGGACCAAACTGCTTCCTGAGGTGCATTCTTGATAATCAGTAACTTTAAGAATCCTACATGTTTTCACAGACATACATATGAAAAAGGACTCTGAGGTCATCATATATGAGACAAGACATGAGAAAATACATAGAAGCAGCTCTTTATACTAGGAAATTACATAAAACTAGCTATAGTGAAGCTCTGCCTTAAAAGTTAATTTAAACCTTTTCTAAAAATTTTTAACTCTTAGGCATGGTGGTGCACATGTATAATGCTGGAACTCTAGGAGGTTGAGAAAGGAGGACTACAAGTTCAAGTCCCACCTGGGCAATCTACCAAGATCGAGTCTCAAAATTAAAATAATGATTTTATTATTAGCTCAGTAATATTTATCAGTAGCTCAGTGGTAGAGCGTTTATATTAATTCTTTGACCTTTGCCTCAGAGGGTTAAATAGGGTTTTATATATATACATACGTATACATATATATATATATATATATATATATATGTATACGTATGTATATATATAAAACCCTATTTAACCCTCTGAGGCAAAGGTCAAAGAATTAATATAACATTCCAAGGATATAAAGTAGACACTACATAGAGGCTCTGTTCAATTCTTATTGATGGAGTAGCAGAAAAGTGGACTAATAACTAGACGTGCATCCTACTACTGGCTGTGTTACCAGCTGTGTGAGAAGGGACAAGTTATAAATCTTCCAATTTCTTCAATTATAAAATCAGGGACATGAAACTGTACTAACTAACTTAAATACTGTATCTGGGCTACTTCTCCATATAGCATTGTTTTCCAAGATTGGTAAAATGAATGAATTTTTTAAATTGAAAGATGCTCCAATGGCAAACCCTTTTTTTATAGAAATCATATAAGCAGATATTTGTAATCACCCAAAGTGTTATTTTATAACTCCGGGAGGTTTTATGTTAGTTTTAGTTACAGAACGACAGGCCCGTCTTCTTCACTGTTCATTAAAAGTTGGAAACCCTCAGCAATTAAAATAAGAGAGAAGCACCCTACTTATCCCCAGGACCCTTAAGCCTTACTTACTAGGGCTGGACTGGGACTGCTCTTTTCATGCTCTTCCAGTTGGGTGACACTTGATCCATCTATTTACAAGTCCACTAATCTGATTAGGGTCTGACCACCTGGTTGAGGCTGCTTTTGTTTTTGAAATCCTTGACAAAAATCCTATATGGATTACAAATTCTTAATGAGTATGTTTTTGCCAGCCAGGAGAGTTATGCTTCCCCAAAGTTGAAACTTAATAAAGAAACAGGAAGTCAGAAATGAAAATAAAATGTGGAAATGTGGGGAAAAGACTATTAAGCCAAGGGAAATGTGACTGAAGGAAAAATGACTTCAGATCTAAAAGCCAGCCTCCAAATGTTTAACTGAAAAGCTAGAGCTTGCTCTTACTTCCTCTGCTTTTTGAGGGAGATGGGACAGGGCCAAATTACAGAAGAATTAAAAATCCCAGGACATTAATTGAGAAAGTTATCAGCTTATAAAAAACACCACTGATTTTCTTCACTATTGGTTTTTCTTAATAAAAACTTTGCTTAGTGTAGAACTTTGCCCTGTATATAATCAAGGACAAATTTCTCTTCTCAAGTGTTTTCTTAATGCAGTTGGATTTCAATTTAAAAATTGATATTCCACATTGAAACAGCAATAAAAGTCTGGAAAATTAAATGCTTACCTTCCCCATCAAATGTTCCTTGTCCTTTCAGCATTTTTTTCTAAGAGACAAGAAAAGCAAAAAGAAGAGAAAGCAAAGCAAAGTATGTGTGAATGAGCCAAATAGAAAACACAGCTATTATAAGTAAAAGTACGTTTTTGTTGTTACATTCATTAGATTTCCAAAAGCATACAGCAGATGATTTCTAGAGCAGTTCAATCATACAACCACTACAATTCACTGAAACAGTGAAATAAAATGTACACAGTCTCACACACTCCATCAAAACAGGGAATCCTCAGACGGCCAGCGGTTCAACTTATTTCATGACTTGTGATTCAACATTACTGTTAGATTGAACTTTGCTATACTTCCCGAGTTGAGAAAAACACTTATAATATTATGTAATGTCTTTTCTTTAAGACCATACGCTCTAAAATAAAACAAGCTTGTGTATTTATTACATATGTGACATTTATATACACTGGTTCCGGTTCTCTAATAAAAAAAAAAATGTGAGTGCCAACGGAATCCTTGTCCTCTTGCTGAGATCTATCTTGTTTATGGGGAAGGCAGCATACACTCTAAAATATTCCTCTATGGTTTCCCTACTTCTTTATGTCCTAGTTGACAGTATTTTAGCAAGTGAAATTCTGAGGCCTTTTCTCAGCAAACAATATCACCTTACCCTATAGTTCTGTGCCACCAATTTCTTAAATGCATAAAATGGGAATGAAATGCAATCAAAGGGCATGGTGACAAAAACAAGCAACAAAATACACCTCAAACTCTGTCCTTCACGATTCGGGGGGACTGATTTGCAAATTCACATTTTACCGGAATGATATCAAGTGTGTGATCGCGGTTCAAAATAATCAAAAGAGTGAAAAGGGAAGCAGTATTTTTCTGCATCAGCTGTGACAAACTACCACCGACCCCTCTAAATAAACACCTGCCTACCTGGCCAACCCTCGAGTGCAGCTTCACACCTCCTTCCAGCTCCCTGTATTACAAGTGCCCAGCACTTTCCAGTCAATGCTTAATTTGCGATACATTTTTGTTTTTCTTTGCACTCCGAATTTTCCCTGAGCTTATAAAGTTAAAAGTGATAGTTTCACTTCCATCCGTATGGTTGCATTAAACTCAGTGGTGCCTGCCAGCCACAGAATGGCCAAGCACTTATGTGCCCAGGTATCAACAGCAGGAGAAGAAGTAAAAGTGAAAAACGATTTCTAATTTTCTCTGTTGCTCCTACTCTCCCCCAACACACGCATTCGCTTTTGGCTTAAGGAATGGACAACATTCCTGCCCACTCTTACCTTTATCCTTCCCAGGCTGGAAAACTTTTCCTTGTCTTCCATCACCACTTTCAGGACAGGCTGGGACATCCTGTTCTTCTTCTTGGAGCTGTTAGGGCTGTCAAAATCAAAGCCACTGACCACAGCCCTGCGATAGGACGTGGACCGCAGGCCTCGCCGCAGAGACCCGGGGCTATCCAGGTCATTGTCGACCTCCCTCTCTTCCCCCGTCGGACCCAGGGGTGCTCCGAAGCCCTCCACCATGCTGCGCACCTTGAGGAGTCTCTTATGGGGCTCCACATTCTGATTGGTGGATTTACTTAATTTAATTTCTGAGGCTAGGCTCTTCGGAATGATCTGCTGCTTCCCCACTTTGAGGGCAGCAGGGCTGTTTGTACTCAAAACCACGGAAGGGTTTTCCGGTAGTTCGTTCTCCCGCGAGGGCAGCCTTTGGAGGGGGAGGTTTTGTTCCAAAGGCGTTTTCTGGGACACATTACAGAGTCCCGAAGGCCTCCGTTCTGGGTCCTTGGCTGTCTCCGCAGACTGAGAACAGGAGCCAGCGGAATCGTTTTTGGAGGCAAGACCATTGACAGTGGGTGAAGGCACCCGGCTGGCAGTCACTCCGGTGGGGTCCTCAGGGCTGCAGGGCGCTGCGACCGCAGGAGTCCGAGGGGTGCTCAGTGGCAGCGTAGGGGCAGGGTTCACCGTGCCATTTGCCCGAGACTTCGGGGAGCCGCCGAAAGCCACTTTGGGGACTTGGGGTGACTTGGACCGTCGGGGTCCAGGAGAAGCAGCTCTGTATTCCGGAGAGACCGTCCGCCCATTGGTCACCGCGCCCCCATGGGCGCAAAGAAAGAGGGGGCTTCTCTGTACCGTCCCGCCGTCCGACGAGGCGGGCAGCTGGGCGGGCGTCTGCGCCGCGGGCAGCGTCCCCAGCTCCTCCACCGGGAAGTCCGTGATCAGCAACCCGCTGGGGCTCTGGTAGGACTGTGGCCTCGGTTTGCTCCGGCCCACCAGCTGGGGTTCAGGGGTCGACCGCCTCCGCCATAAAGGGGTTAATCTGTTGCTAGAAAAATCCACTTCGCTCTCGCCGTCCATGGCGAGGCCTCGGGTCAACCCCTAAGGTTTCCTAGCAGGGAAAAAGTTACGGAACCCTTCTCCGAACAACCTGGCACGTCTCGCACACACGCCAGCTCCGACCCCAGCGGTCACCCGGCTGTGGCGCGGGACGCCACTGAGCGCCACTTACCCGCCCTTTCTCGGGAGAAAAGCGCGGGGGCCGGGGCGCAAATCCGGGCTGCTTCCCGGGCGGATTAATCCAGACACCTTCGCGTCACTCCCGCGCTCAACGACCACCCGCACGGAAGGAGCCGGCCACCAAGTCTCTGGTTTCAAACCGAAGCGCAGGAAACTTGGGACGGGTTCAGCTTTCTCGGGAAACGCGCCGCGGGACGCTCCCCTCAGCCGCCATCCAGCCGGCCGTCCCCGTCC